TTAGATCTAGTAGTTTTGGAGTGGATTCTTTAGGGTTTTTTGTGTACAATATCATGTCATCTGCAAATAGTGACAGTCTGACTTCTTCTTTACCAATCTGGATGCCTTGTATTTCTTTGCTTTGTCTGATTGCTGTGGCTAGGACCTCTAGAACTATGTTGAATAAAAGTGGGGAGAGTGGGCATCCTTGTCTTGTTCCCAGTCTTAAAGGAAAAGCTTTCAGCTTCTCGCTATTAAGTATAATGTTGGCTGTGGGTTTATCATATATGGTGTTTATTATGTTGAGGTACTTGCCCTCCATACCCATTTTGTTGAGAGTTTCATCTGGTCTTAATATTGCTGCTACTGCTTTTTTTTCTTTTTAGAAATTAATGTATGTATAGTATATCTTTTTCCACCTTTCAATTTTCACCTTACTCACATCATTATATTTGAAGGGAGTTTCTTGCTGACAACATAGTGTTGGATCATGTTTTTTTTTTTGAAAATTCACTTTGGCAGTCTCTCTTTTCATTCCTTTACTTAAAATGATTTACATTTAATGTGATTATTGATCTTGTAGGGCTAAATTTCACCATTTTATTTTTTGTTTCCTGATTATTCCTTCTGTTTCTCATTTATATGTTTTCTTTTTCTTGACTTCCAGTCCATTACTTGAACATTTTTGATTTCCACTTTGATGCGTCTATGGTGTTTTTGAGTATATCTCTCTATACAGCTTTTTTAGTGCATTTTTGAGGTATTACATTACCTATTACACAGCTTATCACAGTCTACTGGAGTTGGCATTTTATATGTTTGAGAGGGGTGTGGAAACTTTTCCTGCCTTTACCCTCCTCTATTTATATTGCTGTTCTAAACATTTCCTCTACATACACTGAGAACCACATCAGTCAGTGATACAATTTTTACTATAGCTGTCAAAAATAATTGATAAAACAACATCAGGAGGAGAATCTATTGTATCTACCTATATTTTTGTTTTTTCCACCTTCTCTCATATAGTACAAGATTCCTCTTATTACCATTTGTTTCTACTTTGTGAACTTTCTATTCTTTTAAAGTCGGAATCTGAGAATGACTTGATTTCCCCTTCACTCCTGAAGGATATTTTCCTTGGACATGGAATTCTGAGTTGACAGCTCTTTGCTTTTAGTACAGCAAGTACTTTGCTTTTAGGAAAATACTGTGTCATTCCTTTCTGGCCTGCATGGTTTCTGATGAGAAAGTCATTGTCATTCAAAAAAATTTTGCCCTATTAGAAAGGTGTCACTTCTTTCTTGCTGCTCTCAAGGTTTTGTTCATTGTCTTTTAGTTTTCAGAAGTTTAATTATGATGTGCCTTTATTTGAATTTCTTTGGGTTTATCCTGTTTGGGGTTTGCTTAGCTTCTTGAATCTGTAGGTTTACATATCTTTCAAATTTGGGAAATTTTCAGCCTTATTTCTTGGAATAAGCATTTTTTGTAGGAAAGATTACCACAAATAGAATCTCTGGGGAAAAGGCTTCAAATGTTTAAAATTCACTAGGTATTGTCAAATAACCCTCCCAAAGTTTAGGGCCTCACAAAGTTTTACTCCTGCTGAGTGAATGAAAGTGCTGTTCATCCACCCACTTACTAACAGAAGTTATTAATTTGTTAAACAAAAACAATGCATTGCTGTTTTAATCTGCTTTTTTTAGTGAAATCGAACACATTTTCATATTTATTGACCGTTTGCATTTCTTCTCTAATTGTTCATTTTCTTTCCAACTTTTTTGATTGGTGGTTCATCTTTTTCTTATTGATCATGAAGCTCTCTTTGCACATTTTGTAAATTATTCATTTGTCATTTGTGCTGCCAATGTTTTTTGTCAGTTTGTTGTTAGGTAGTTTTAATTTAAGTATAGTTGATATACAACATTATATTGGTTTCAAATATACAGCACAGTGATTCCACAGTTACACACATTATTAAATCCCTACTCCAACTAATGCAGTTACTGTCTGTCAACATAGATGTTAGAGAACTATTGACTATATTCTCCATGCTGCACTTCCATCCATGTGACCAATTTATATTATGATTGAGATTTTTGTGCCTCTTTATCCCCCTCCCCCAACCCCTCCTCCATGGTAACCACCAGTCACTTCTCAGTGTCTATGAGTCTATTGCTGTTTTGTTCACTTTGTTTTGTTTTGTTTTTAGTCCTTGTTTTTGTTTGTTTTGCTGAACAGCAATTTAAAATTTTTAGCTACTAAAATTTAGAGGCTTTTGCTAGTTTTAGATTTTTTGACCTGTTTAGAAAAGTTTTATCTTCAGTAAAATTATAAAAATATTCTTTTACATTTAGTATTCCCATGTTTTCATTTTCACAATTAAGTATTGGATCCATCTGGAATATATTTTGATGGAAAAGTGAGGTAGATAATAGCAGATCTCTTCTATGAGGATTTAATTCAGGGAGGTAGTGAGGGGGAGAAAGGAGAGTTTATGAGAATGTTGTATGCCTGGAAGGAGGGAAATATTGGAAAATGGTAGAATCAAAGGGCTGTCTCGTCTTTTCTCAGCATTCTCTTTGAGTGCTGACCAAAGGAAAGATTAAGTCAACTGGGATTGTGAAGAACAAATTTAAAATTTTTTGGAAAAAAATAATTTTTACTCAATAAATTTTTTGTTTTTGTGAAAAGCTGGGAAGAAATAGGGAAAATGAAGTTATCTTGTGATTTTTGTGTTGCTGTTTTGGTGGATGGAGCTTTTCCTCTCTTGACTAAAGAAGACTTACAGTGACTTGTGTTGATACTTTAGTTCCCTCATAGTGCATCCCAGTGGGACAATTGTCTACAGTGACGACCCTTAAAGGAAGATACTCATTTACTTAGCATATTTTTCAATCACCTGTCAAGGAGGCAGGTATGGAGTAATGCTTATATTTGGTCTGTGGAACTAGACTGCTTGGGTTAAAATCCTAGTCCAATAACTTACTAGCTGTATGATCTTGACAAGTTACTAAACTTCTCTGTACTTCAAGCTCCTCTTCTGCAGAATGGGGATATTAACACCTCATTGTATTATTGTGAGCATCAGAACAGGGTCAAACATATAGTAAGCAATTGGTTAATGTGAAATATTAATCTAATCACTGGAGATAGAGCACAATACACATGTTCCTTTTAGTTATGGACCTTGCATTCTTAAGTGAAGAGATAGGATAAAAATTACAAATAATAATAATTACTCTGAAGGAATTGTAAAAGGCTGAGATAGAGTATAAGGGAGTGGGAGGGGCATCCTATTTTAGATAACATGGATGGCCAGGGAAGGCCTCTTTGAAGAGGGAAATTGAAGCTGAGACCTGAAACATAAGAAAAAACAAGTATTTTTTAAAATGGAAGGAAGAATGTTCCAGACACTGGAAACATCATTTACAAAGATCCCAAAGAGAGGGAATTTTGGTATATTCAAAGCTTTGAAAGAAGACCATTGTGGTCGGAATGGAGTGAATGAGAAAGAGAGTGTTATGAGATGAGGTTGTTGAGATAGGACTTTATAGACCAGAGTAAGGAGTTTGAATTTTAAGTTCTGTGGGAAACCACTAAAAAAGGAGATGCACACGATATAATTTTTCTTTTTAAAAGAGAATGATTTTGTTATTGTGTTGTATTTGCATCAGAGAAGGGCAAGGCTGGAAAGAGAGAGAGAAACTTGGAGGCTCGTCACAGTGGTCCAAACAGTAGTGGATTTGGAGAGAAGTGGATAGATACGAGATACATTTTTGAGGTGCAATCAACTGAATTTGCTGAAGGATTGGATATAGGAGGGTAGGGTACTGGAAAAGAGTTTGAATCAAAGATGATATTGAGGTTTCTGTCTTGATTAATAGGTTTGATGTGGTACCAGTTTCTGAAATGGGGGACATTGGAAGAAGGATCAGGTTTGGTGAGAGTTGTGGACATGGTGAATTTGAGATGTCTATTAGAGATCCAAATGGAGATATGGAGTAGTCAGCTGGATTTATGAATCTGGAGTTCAGGAACAGCTTTTAGATGATATTTAAAATTGTGGATCTCGATGAGATAACCTAGGGAGGTTAAAAAGAGAAGAGCACCTGGATCATGTGAATATTTTACCTTTAATGTAGAAGCTGTGAGATACTAAAAGGAGAATGGGTTGGTAATAAAGGTAGGGATGTAGTTCAGTGGTAGAGTATCTGCTATATATGCAGGAAGCCCTAGATTTTATCCCTAGTGTCTCCATTTTCTTTTTGCCTCCTCAGAGGACAGGGCATGGCTAGATATTCTTTTGTCAATTACTCACATATATTTTTTCTAGTTCCTGGAACGAAGCAGGTGCTCAATAAATATTTGTTGAATGAACGAATTAATGAATGAAATGAATGAGACTATCTGAGCTGCAGGAACTGCTTTGCCACAATGTAGTGTTTATGATATTGGGCAGTTCGCAAGTTACAGTTTTGTTCATTGTAAAATGGCAATAATAAAAATACCCATCTTTTTGGACAGGTTTAAAACGATAAAATATTTATAGCAAGTAGCACAGAACTGGTGCTCAATTAATATTAGCTACTGTTATCTCCTTGCATGTCAGGTGCTTATCCATAAAACAGGCACTAATTTCTGACCTGTTTCTCTCGCAAGGCCATTCATTTGCGAAGCTAGCAGGAGTCAAGTAACACTTTGACTCTACAAAGTGTTATTAGTATTAATGTTTTAATTGGTCTGACTCTACATTATGCAGCCTCTCTCCCCATTCTCCCGCAGAATTACTTAAAAGGAAACGCGTCTTTAAAGAGAACCAGTACTGCTGCATGCCAGCCCAGCCTGGTCCAACCGATAGTACTGGAAACCCCACCCCAATGCGTAGTCGCGGAGTTCAATTTTAAAATACTCTGCCCCGCCCTTCCTTGCTAGGCGAGCACACGTCACAACTGTGCGCGCTTATTGGCTCCTGCTGGCCAATCACCACTGCGCTTTCTCCTGTGGCTGTAATTTTCAAAATTCGTTCCTGGGCCGCTTGGAAGGGTCTCAGGCCAGGTTGAGGACACGGATCGCTACAATACAGAACTCCGCTCATTGCCCGGGCCTCTCCTGGCCTAGAAGTGCATCGGTGGTTTTTCCTGTTATGCCCTCCATCTCGATGTGAGGCAGGCGCCTTTGGTCTTGTACTGCCCGCTCGAATGTTCTGCTCTGACGTATGCAGGTAGGTCCCTGAACATCACTCCAGCCCCTTGCTACATGCTGTCTTCTCTTGGCAGGATGCGCGGCGTCCTTGCCACGAAACCTTTGTTTTGTTTCCTTCTGCTGTCAGTCAGCAGTCTGTACGAGGTTGGGCAGGGAGTGTGTATTAAGAGGATGAAACTGTCAAACGAGACTGGGTCCCAGCTTTTAGATGAAGCGATCAGTACACATACCTGAATCAGAGTACATTTACAAAACACCTTTTCACAAGTGACAATGTGTAGGGTCAATTTTATCCATAAGATTTGTTTAAGTCGGAGACTGCTACTTGAGGGATGTCTTTTGAACTACAGGTTGGAGGACATGAAGGAGGATGGAAATGCGTCCTCTTGTTATCCCTTTTATTTCCACCAGCTTTCTTCTATCCCTGCCTCCAACCCCTGCAGCTCTGGCTTCCCCACTGCTCTCCGCTATGGTCCACTTAGAAGCCTAGAATGTTAGAGGTGGAAGAGACCCTAGAACAGTGCTTAGATATTGACGTGCATACAAATCATCTGGGGTTATTGTTAACTTGCACGTTTGGTAGGCCTGGCTTGGGGACTGTGATTTTAAATTGCTTAACAAGCTCCCAGGTGATGCTAATGTTGCTGGTCCATTGAGCACAGTTTGAATAGCTAGGAGGCTCTGATCCCATTGCCTCATTTTATTAGGTGAGCCTAGAGAGGGAAAAGGGATTTTCCCTGAGTCACAGAGCCAGCTAGGGTGAGGGTCAGAACTAGATCCTAGGTATCCTTCCCAGCCCAGTGCTTCTTTCATTGACACCGTACTGCTTTCTCTCCCCCCAGTATCTTTCTGTCTGTAAGCTGCCTTTATATGTAAAATGGGGTTGCTGCTGTTTCCTGTAGACTATCTTGAGCTATACTTTTGAAGTCCAAGTAACTGGGCTTCTAAACGAGCCACCTTGCCCGGTGTGGGTTTCAGCACCAGTCCTGGGATGCTCAGTGGAGTCTCCAGCATTATCAGTGTGTATGTTGGGGACATGGAAAGTCTGGAAAGTGGAAAGGATTCTAATTTTCTTGTCCAAGTGAAACTCAGGGTTCTGTAGGTGGTAAAAGACAAGAACTGTTCTGCAGAGAGTGTCCTTTTATGAAAGCATGTTTTTGGTGGTGTCAGTCCCCTCCCCCCTCCTCCTGGCAGGGAAATTGTTAAGTCATTGTGTGTGTTCTCCAAATCAACTGATTAGTGTTCAGAATAATGAAGGTGGTATATGACCATCATCACCTGAATAACCTTATTTTCTCTGAGGTTTAGTTAACCTGTGATGTCATCAGCTGGAAGTTTTCTAACCTGTTGACTCCAGTCTATTTTTCCCTTTCCTTTGAAAGATAAAGCTTTCAGAACACGAGTCTTTGGTCATCTATAAAAAAGTCATATGAGGTGTGAATAATACTAGTGGAGTAAGTGGTTTTCATACAGTACAGTTAAGGGTGGGCGCACCCAATTTATCTTTATTGATGCTTGGCTGCGTTTTGAGGGATCAGATGGAAAATAGGTTTGGATTTGGGAGAAGAGAAAGTGAGTAAGATGCACCTGCCATGAATTAGGCTTCATGCATAAAAATTTACTTTCGAGCTGCATGATACCTCTGCAAAGTAAGTGGTAGTATAGCTCTTTTCCAAATGAGGAAACTGAGGCTTAAAGATGCTAACTTGGCTGGTTTAGAAGCCTAATTGCTTTTTTTTTTTTTTAAAAAAAAGATCTGTACTCATTATTTCTCCTCACACTACCACACACCTTTCATTTTGGACTGTGGACTGTTTTGGAATGCTTTTGAGTATGTTCGGGGAGACATTGTGCATATGTATTTGTGCATGTATTCATGGTATTTTAGAAAGAGTCCTGGAAAGTACTGGGTGATCTATGCTGCTTAATAGTTTGTCCTGTGTGGTAAGTCACTTAACACACTTGGGACTATAAAATGGAAATAACTGTACTTGCCCTGCTTACCTCACAGTTTTGTTATGAGGGTCAACTGAGGTAATGAATGGGAAGGTACATACTTTTACTGATTTTTCATCACTGACAAAATGTTTAATACATCTCCATCTAAAGCAAAACCCAAGTCAACCTTTTTCCTTTCTTAAACTTTTCCTTCAAACTGCAATCTTCTCTGCTTCCCTTTCTGACCAGCTTGGCCACAGCTTAGCTTTCAGTCCCTTTCTAACTCCTTACCCACACATTCTTTATAGTCCATACTCCAGGTAACTGGGATGTCCCTGAACCTGCGATGCTCTGCCTGTGCAAGGCTCAGCCTTTCTTTACCTGGAAAGCTCCCCAGTCTACTTGGGAACCTCTTTGTCATTTAAGTCCAGATCAAACATAACCTCTGTGAAGTTTTCCTCCACCCCCTCTCCCCAACAAAATTACTGACTTTCCATTATGTTTCTATAGTACTTTGTGTAAATCTACCTTTATTAAATCATTTGCCACATTTTTGTTATTGTTAGAGTTGCACATGTGAGACTTTTAGGATAAGATCCATGATTTATTTGTGTTTGTATCTCCATTGCTTGAAGTATCTGGTAGATAGTGGTAAGTTTGTTGCATTGCCTTAGCGTCTCTCTTAGGGAAGCCTGTTCTTTGTCAAATGCAATTGAACTTGGAGATTGAATGTGGCTGTGGTTGAAAGGGCACTTGTATCTGAGTGGGAAGGGTCTCTTGTGTATTCAAAAACTCATTCTTCCTAATAATGTATTTGCTTCTAAGACCCATAAATGTATCCTAAACATCAAGGACTTACAACAAAAGAAACTTGAGAGGTGTTGCCTGGGGTCTCACACTCAAATGGGGAAAATGTAGGACTCTTCCAAGGGCTGTGATGATTGTTAAATTTTTATGTCAAATGAATTTCAATACATTAGTTCCTTCTGTTATTATGTCATCTTTTGAATTTTTTTCCTACCAGGTTCCTGAAACTGCATTACAGTTTCTTCTGATTGAATGCAGCCTTTGAATACTCTCTGGCTTTACTGTGCATTCTTGTGTCTTCTCCATAGCATTATTATAATTGCTGCGGCCACAACTCCATGCCTTTTAAAGAACATTAACCCTACCAGCTAGCCTCCATACTATATAACCTGTCATTTTCTTGATTGTTTTCAGTGCAAAACTCTCATGTGTTTTGTCCCTAGTGTTCCTAGACCTAAATATGGAGCTAGGCCATAGTTCCAGTGCCCAAAGAGGATGGCAGGCACTTGTGCTGGGCTTTTTACTTAGAGTATCTCATTTAATTTGAACAAAGCCCTGCAGAGGTAGGTATACTTATCTCCATTTAATAGATGAGATAACTGAAGCTAAGGGAGTTTAAGTCACTTGTCCAAGGTTAATTGTGGTAAACCAAGAATTGAACCTATTTCTACCTAACTCAAAGTCTGTTTTCTCCTACGGATGCTATAGACACATGAGGTTTTCTCAAGAATTTTTGGAGAACTCTGTGATGTTTCTGGTGAATGGTGTTTTAAAAAGTCCTTTTTTTTAAATTGCAGCCCTTCTTTGGATAGATGCTGCTGAATCTGTAAGAGATGCCACTGCCACTACCACCACGAAGCTCCAAACATGAGACTAAGAAATCTCAGTCCAGCAAAACTTTGCCCAGTGATCATGGCCAATCTGAAAAGGTTAGAGTAAACTGTTTCTCCCAACAATGTCTCAAATAACCTCTTTCTATGTTGGGTGAGTCCTTATCCTCACCCCTAAATCTTTTGAAATATGTGTGGTTTAATTTGAGGAAGTGGGAAGGGGAGGCAGCTATTTTAGTTGGAGAATGCCAGCAAATTATAACTTGCAGAGAGCGTGAACTCTTCTTTCCCATAAATGTATGACTGAAATGAAGGCCACCCTCCACAACCTTCAAAAGCAAACACTACTCAACTTTTGTAAATGACGATCACATCTATACTCTTTATTTGTTCAATTTTAAAAAAATCACGGTCTGTTTTTTTATTATTTTATTTTATTTAAAGTATCATTGATACACAATCTTATGAAGGTTTCACATGAACAACACTGTGCTTTCAGCATACACCCAATCATTTAGTCCCACCCACACACTCCACTGCAATCACTGTCCATCAGCATAGTAAGATGCTATAGAGTCATTACTTGTCTTCTCTGTGCTATATTGCCTTCCCTGTGACCTACCTATATTGTGTGTGCTAATTATAATGCCTCTTAATCCCCTTCTCCCTTGCTCCCCAACCCACCCTCCCCAGCCCCTTCCTTTTGGTAACTGCTAGTCCCTTCTTGGAGTCTGTGAGTCTGCTGCTGTTTTGTTCCTTCCATTTTGCTTTGTTGTTATAATCCACAAATGAGTGAAATCATTTGGTACTTGTCTTTCTCCACCTGGCATATTTCACGGAGCATAATACCCTCTAGCTCCATCCATGTTGTTGCAAATGGTAGGATTTGTTTTCTTTTTATGGCTGAGTAATATTCCATTGTGTTTATGTATCACATCTTCTTTATCCATTCATCTACTGATGGACACTTAGGTTGCCTCCATATCTTGGCTATTGTAAATAGTCCTGTAATAAACATAGGGGTACATATGTCTTTTTGAATCTGGGATCTTATTTCTTCAGGTAAATTCCTAGGAGTGCAGTTCCTGGTTCAAATGGTATTTCTCTTTGTAGTTTTCTAAGGAACCTGCATATTACTTTCCAAAATGGCTGAACTAATTTACATTCCCACCAACAGTGTAGGAGGGTTCCCCTTTCTCCACATCCTTGCCAGTATTTGTTGTTCCTAGTCTTTTCTATGTTGGCATCCTAACTGGTGTGAGGTCATATCTCATTGTGGTTTTAATTTACATTTCCCTGATGATTAGCAATGTGAAACATCTTTTCATCTAAATTTCTTCTTTGGAGAAGTGTCTGTTCATATCCTCTGCCATTTTTTAATTGGGTTATTTGTCTTTAGGGTGTTGAGGTGTGTGCATTCTTTATACATTTTGGATGTTAACCCCTTGTTGGATAAGTCATTTATGAATATATTGTCCCATACTGTAGGATGCCTTTTTGTTCTGCTGATGGTGTCCTTTGCTGTGCAGAAGGTTTTTAGTTTGATGTTGTCCCATTTGTTATTTTTGCTTTTGTTTTCCTTGCCTGAGGAGATGTGTTCAGGAAAAAGTTTCTCATGTTTATATTCAAGAGATTTTTGCCCATGTTTTCCTCTATGAATTTCATGGTTTCATGACTTACATTCAGGTCTTTGATCCATTTTGAGTTTACTTTTACTTATGGAGTTAGACAATAATCCAGTCTCATTCTCTTATATGTAGTTGTCCAGTTTTGCCAACACCATTATTTGAAGAGGCTGTCATTTCCCTATTGTATATTCATGGTTCCTTTATCATGTATGACTTGGCCATATATGTGTGGGTTTATATCTGGGTTCTCTATTGTGTTGCATTGATCTGTGGATCTGTTCTTGAGCCAGTACCAAATTGTCTTGATTACTATGGCTTTGAAGTAGAGCTTGAAGTTGGGAAGCAGCTTTATTCTTCCTTCTTGGGATTGCTTTGGCTATTTGGGGGATTTTGTGGTTCCATATGAATTTTACAACTACTTGTTCTAGTTCATTGAAGAATGCTGTTAGTATTTTGATAGGGATTGCATTGAATCTGTAGATTGCTTTAGGTAGGATGGCTATTTTGATAATATTAATTCTTCCTATCCAGGTGCACATACTGTATTTCCATTTTTATATGTCTTCTTTAATTTCTCTCATGAGTGTCTTGTAGTTTTCAGAGTATAGGTCTTTTACCTCCTTGGTTAGGTTTATTCCTAGGTATTTTGTTCCTTTTGATGCAATTGTGAATGGAATTGTTTTCCTGATTTCTCTTTCTATTAGTTCATTGTTAGTACATAGGAAAGCCATAGATTTCTGTGTGTTAATTTTGTATCCTGCAACTTTGCTGAATTCAGATATTAGATCTAGAAGTTTTGGAGTGGAGTCTTTAGGTTTTTTTATGTACAATATCATGTCATCTGCAAAGAGTGACAGTTTGACTTCTTCCTTACCAATATGGATGCCCTTTATTTCTTTGTTTTGTCTGATTGCCATGGCTAGGACTACCAGTACTATGTTGAATAACAGTGGGGAGAGTGGGCATCCCTGTCTTGTTCCTGATCTTAGGTGAAAAGCTTTCAGCTTCTCGCTGTTAAGTATGATGTTGGCTGTGGGTTTGAAATGTATGGCCTTTATTATGTTGAGGTACTTGCCCTTTATACCCATTTTGTTGAGAGTTTTTATCATGAATGGATGTTGAATTTTGTTGAATGCTTTTTCAACATCTATGGAGATGGTCATGTGGTTTTTGTCCTTTTTGTTGATGTGGTGGATGATGTTTTGATGGATTTTTGAATGTTGTACCATCCTTGCATCCCTGGAATGAATCCCACTTGATCATGTTGTATGATCCTCTTGATGTATTTTTTAATTTGGTTTGCAATATTTTGTTGAGTATTTTTGCATCTATGTTTATCAGGGATATTGGTCTGTAATTTTCTTATTTGGGGTGTCTTTGCCTGGTTTTGCTGTTAGACTGATGCTGGCCTAATCGAATGAGTTTGGAAGCATTCCCTCTTCTACTTTCTGGAAAACTTTAAGGAAGATGGGAATTAGCTCTTCTTTAAATGTTTGATAAAATTTAGTGGTGAAAAAAATCTGTACTAGGAATTTTGTTCTTAGGTAGATGTTTGATTACCAATTCACTTTCATTGCTGGTAATTGGTCTGTTCAGATTTTCTGTTTCTTCCTGGGTCATTCTGGGAAGGTTGTATTTTTCTAGAAAGTGTTCTATTACTTCTAGGTTATCCAATTTGTTAGCATATAGTTATTCATAGTATTCTCTAATAATTCTTTGTATTTCTGTGGTGTCCATAGTGATTTTTCCTTTCTCATTTCTGAATCTGTTTATGTGTGTACACTCTTTTTTTCTTGTTAATCTGGCTAGGGGTTTATCTGTTTTGTTTATTTTCATGAAGAACCCACTCCTGGTTTCATTGATTCTATTGTTTTATTCTTCTCAATTTTACTTATTTCTGCTCTGATATTTATTATGTCCCCCCTTCTATTGACTTTGGGCCTCATTTGTTCTTCTTTTTCTAGTTTCATTCATTGTGAGCTTAGACTGTTCATTTGGTATTGTTCTTCTTTCTTGAGGTAGGACTGTATTTCAATATACTTCCCTCTTAGAACTGCCTTCATGGCTTCCCACAAGTTTTGGGGTATTTTGTTGTTTTCATTTGTCTCCATATATTGCTTGATCTCTGTTTTTATTTGGTCATTGATTGATTGATTATTTAGGAGCATGTTGTTAAGCCTCCATGTGTTTGTTCGCTTTTTTGTTTTCTTTGCATAATTTATTTTCCAGTTTCATACCTCTGTGGTCTGAGAAGCTGGCTTTTCAATCCTTCTGAATTTGCTGAGGCTCTTTTTGTGTCCTAGTATGTGAACTATTCTGGAAAATGTTCCATGTACACTTGAGAAGACTGTGTATCCTGCTGCCTTTGGGTGTGGAGTTCTGTAGATGTCTGTTAGGTCCATCTGTTCTAATGTATTTTTCAGGGCCTCTGTCTCCTTACTTATTTTCTGTCTGGTGGATCTGTCCATTGGAGTAAGTGGCATGTTGAAGTCTCCTAAAATGAATATATTGCATTCTGTTTTCCCCTTTAATTCTGTTAGTTTTTGTTTTACATATTTAGGTGCTTCTATGTTGGGTGCATAGATATTTATAATGGTTATACCCTCTTGTAGGACTGACCTGCTTGGTTGTAATTAAGAAAATAAAAATGCAGCCACTGTGGGCTCCTCAAGGGGGAAGCTATACCCTCTACCCAGCTGGTAGACCACTCCATGCTCCACCCCTACACTGAGAATGAGCTGGTGGACATGAGCATCTGGTATTGGCAGGAGCCTTTGGAACATCTGCCTACATGGCTTTTGTATTTCTGTAGTATGGCGATGCAACACATTGTTATGTCAGGTTCTGAAATGGGTAGACTGGCTTCCCTGATGATTTATTCTTCCTTCTGGCAATGGTTGCAAAGTTCCCTTCACACCTCAGGGAACTGGACACTTCTGAATTGGCTGTCAGCAGCCATCACGGCAGTTTGGCCTAATCAGGGTGATTTACCATACTTACCCACTAGCTGGAAAATCTATGCAAAGCTCCAGCAGGCGTTATGGGAGTTGGGCATGAAAAATATCATCTAAAATATGGACCCCAGGGGGCCTGATGAGGAACTGTTTACCATTGGAATGATAAATATGGTGCTCCATACAGCTCTCTCTTTGGGTCCCTACTGACTCTTCTTGCCCCCCATATAGGGCAACCTATAAGTGAGGCTACTCTTACTTTAGCAGATCTGGGGGGGGTTGAAACAATAAGAGCATGGAAGGAAGTATGGGCTATGACTGAAAGGAGAGCTGCAAAGGGCCCCATGAAGGTTTCGTGGACCAAGATGTAGGTTCATTTGATAAAGGCTGGGATGGTAAAAGAAAAACTTGATGGGCAGCCGAATAGGATCTCATGAGAACTGTGGCAGCAATTAAAGCCAGAGCAGCAGTTCCAGCCACTGAGATTCAGGACACAGAAGCAGAAGACAAAGCCCCA